GCCAGAACATCCAGTAAATCCAGAGTAATCCAGGCTGTGCCATGGTGCCAGAACATCCAAGAAATTTAAGATAATCCAGGCTGTGCCATGGTGCCAGAACATCCAAGAAATTTAAGATAATCCAGGCTGTGCCATGGTGCCAAAAAAAATAAAAATAAAAAATCCAGGAAGTCCAGGATAATCTAGGCTGCGCCGTGGCGCCAAAATATCCAGGAAGTTTAAAATAATCCAGACTGCGAGCAGTTTACTGATGGAATTTTTAATGAATAAAAAGCAGAAGTTTGTTTTGTTTAATTTATTTTTCTATTCTTTACAGTTTTTTACACACTCTTAAAGCATCGTGCACGAGGTTTACGCGCTGTTTGTCAACAATATTTTTATTTATTTTATTTAAATTAGACTCAGCTGTGCAAAACGCTGATTTTTGTCTTTTTAATAACATTTAAATTTGTTTATAATTTTCGCTCAGTTTAGAAGTTTGAGCAATAACTAGTTATTTGATAATATAACCCAACTCAAATGTTTTATTTTAATTTATTTTATGATTTTGCTAAAGACAAAGCGTGTTAATATTTGAGGGGTTTAAAACTGTGATTTAACAGATATTTTACTTTTTATAACAAAATAGCCGAATTTGATTTAATGTATAAAATATTTTCAAATTATGTTTTATTTATTTATGTTGTTGCTAACCCGCTAAAAAACAATTAAATATAATAATATGTAAATATCTTTATTTTTTTACAAAGGATCTTGTAAGATTTAATTTCGCGCGTAATGGGACTTTTTGTGTAAAGTTGTTTAGTTTGACAAAACTGATCAAATTAAATATGAATAACTCCAGATTGTGTCTCATTAATCCCTGGTTGTTCCGCAGTAATCTGAGGAACAGCTCGGGAAACGGTGGATGAACGTTCTGCTCCTCTGCGCGTCCTCAGACCTGCGGGAGGTTTTATCTCCGGCGGACCTCAAACGCATCATCTTATCGCCTGAAAACCATTATCCTGTCACGTGACGCGACCTTGACGCTGTTTGGAAACCATTTACGGCGGCGTCTTATCTAAATACAGCCATAAATCCGGGGGTGTCGCCCTGCAGCGGGGGCGCATCGTTCCATAAAAGCTCAGTGTTTACAGGCCGCTCTGCAGCTCCAATAAATAACGGGCCGTCAGGTTCTGGTCCTTCTGGTCCGGGCCGTCAGGTTCTGGTCCGGGTCTCACACGGACCTGCAGGACTGAACACCGAACTGCGGGACTGAGTCCAGATGTTTGGATGTTTTCTCCAAAATAAAACAAAACAAAATCAGAGCCTTCAGGTCAGCTGACGTCATTTATTTATGTTTTGAATGTAAAACATACAAACATAAATAAATGACGTCATTTATTTGTGTTTTGAATGTAAAACATACAAACATAAATAAATGACGTCATTTGTGTTTTTACATTAAAAACATACAAACATAAATAAATGACGTCATTTATTTATGTTTGTATGTTTTTAATGTAAAAACATAAATTTATTTTCAGATCATTGGAGTTATTAAGACACGTCATTGATGTGCTGTCAGTCAAAGATCAACTCCTCTCCGTGCACGTGCTCGTTTTATCCCTGCATCAGCTTGAAGACATGTCCTCCCTGTCCTGTCCTCTCATGTCCTCTCCTCTCCTGTCCTCCCTGTCCTGTCCTCTCATGTCCTCGCCTGTCCTGTCCTCCCTGTCCTCTCCTCTCATGTCCTCCCTGTCCTCTCATGTCCTGTCCTCCTGTCCTCTCATGTCCTGTCCTCCCTGTCCTCTCCTCTCCTGTCCTCCCTGTCCTCGCCTGTCCTGTCCTCTCATGTCCTCGCCTGTCCTCCCTGTCCTCTCCTCTCATGTCCTCCTGTCCTCTCCTCTCCTGTCCTCTGCTGTCAGCATGAAGAAGTCCATGCAGGCTGCAGAAAGAAAACCTGACACTGTTCATTAAGACGTCCACTACACAGAGATGAAATACAACCCTCCTCCTCCTCCTCATCATCATCATCATCATCTTTCTGCATCACTTTCTCCTCCACCTCCTCCTCCACCTCCTCCTCTGCCCCTCTCTGTTTGATCTGTGCAGGTTCTGACCGACCCGAGCAGCAGAACCTGCAGCTTCTCTCCTGCAGCCATCTTGAATCCTCCTGTTTGTTTCTTTCTGCAGATTGTTCAATAGACACGCTGCTTCCCTCCTCTTCAGAGTGCTTACCCTCAGCTCCACATTTCAAATAAACACCCCCCCCCCCGCAGAGAACTGCTTCTCATCCTGAGACTCACATCTTCCTCTGCTGCACTGAGGCCCGCTGCAGCGATTGGACCTGACGGCCTCTTCTGCTTCTGGGAAATGTGGGTAAACTGGCACTGAGGGGGGAACCCCCCCCCCCCCCCACACACCCACACACCCCACCCAATCCTTCTTCTGCAGGCCTGGGTGGGGGGGGGGGGGGGGGGTGCGGGCTCAGTTCATCCAGACCCGGCTGGACTTATGGAGGTATGAGCTCAGGGCCCCAAACAGAACCGGACTGAACACGGCCCTGTTGGTTTCACCGAGTCCAGAACCACCATGGAGCAAAAAGAGTGCGTGCGTGTGTGTGTGTGTGTGTGTGTTATTATATTAACAGGCACAGTGTTGTTGTAATTATTCAGCTGTTCTCAGATCAGTTTATAACGTCAGGTTCACTGTAAGAATCAAACATTGAATTAATTAAATTATTAAATTAATTAAATTATTTATTTTATTAATTAATTAAATTATCTATTTAATTAATTAAATCAGCCGCTTGTTTGAAACGAATGATCTGAAAACAAATTTTCATTTCAAACATTTAAAGTGCAAAAGGTTTTTAGTTGTTTTTTTTATTGCTCACGTTAAAAAAAAAAAGCAGCTAAAATATATTTAAACTATTTTTATTCAAGTTTATTTTTAACTTGTTTGTTGGCCTCAGATTTGAGATTAGATTTCAAAGCAAACGTAATCTGGGCCGGCTCGTCGTCTCTCTGAGTGTGTGCAGCTTCTCTCCCTCGTCGACTTTCTGTGAATTTATTCAACAAAAATAAAAGTTTTTACGTTTTAATTTAAAGAAACTGTTCCGACGAGCCGGCGCTCAGAGGTTCTTTTTTCAGACGTTTGTCCAGTTTTTTCTCTGCTTCCATTTTACATTCAGACAAAGATCCGTTTAATTTATTGACAATCTTTCTGAACTCTTTATTTTAATTTGTTTGTGTTCAAATATAAAAAACTGCCACAGGGCCCCAAAAGTAGCTCCAGCCCCGGGGCCTGGAATGTTTTTAGTCCTGCCCTGCCTGCAGAAAAATAAACTTTCAGGAAAACAAACACATGTTTTCAAACAAATTAATCAGAAATAATTAGAAATAATTAGAATTTATTAGAGTTAATTAGAGGTTAAAGGACCCTCTGAACACATACAGTAAATGTTGAGGACCAAAGTTTGAGAAACTATTTTTTATTTTGATGCATTTCAGGTAAAAAAAAGGATTACAATTTCTGAAACTTGGAGCAAAAAAACAAAAGATTGTTTATGGATATTACTTCAAAGTTCTCACACACACACACACACACACACACACACACACACACACACACACAC